CGATTAAATTGGTACCAGACTTGTCTGGGAGGATAAAAACACTGACTTGTACATCGGCTGGCCCCCGCAAGTCATTGTATAGGCCACATCGCATTCAAACGCCACTACGAATGTACAAATGGAAGTAGAATGCGTGCCGCATCCCAAAAAGGGATTGATCAACGGCAAATGCTTTATCCTTTTAGCTTTATCATTGGGTTCAATAAGTTCGCTTCCTCACCCTTCATGTTCCTTATTACAAAGCTATAAAGCAATCGCTGGGTGCTCATGTCGTTAGGGGGACATTCAAGTGAGTGAGCTACTTACAGTGCTTGGAACTGAACCTCAAGGAAGAGAAGGGATCTGGAGGTGGACGTGAGCAATTTCTTCTCCTGGCGTTTCTCCCCTCTCCTGCGCTTGTCCTAGTGTCACCAACGGTTTTTAGATGCCATGTTCTGTATGCCCTCACCCCCCCCCCCTGGCGACATGAGCGCCGATCGCTGCTCCTACATCGTCCGTTCGAGTTTTTACTGTTTCACTTATCACACATTTCTGTCCTCCGTCTGTATACGCGCTGAATGTACTGCAGATGACTAGGCACTGCTTCTATGCGCTGTGAATTCTCTATTATTTTCGTACGCCTCCGCTGCATTTCCAGTCCAAAAAAACGGATACGATCTACCACCCATTCAATGGTATTTACTAGTTGAAACGATCCTACGTCAATGAACTGTCTCTGTTACGGCAAACATAAATATCAAACCAGCACTACAAACACGTCTACCTTCAACTCCTTCATTTTCGAATTACCGAACGGCTCATTAGCTTGAGCTCTCTCGTCACGTGCGAATGCGGTAAGGGTGACGTTGGACTTTGCGGTTCGAGCGGTGCACCAGCGATGCGAGGGTGGGGAAAGAGGCGAGAGTCCTTTTCATGTATACTTTGACTCTTGCCTTTTCCTCAGGCGCTAATGCCCTTGCGAAGCTGGGAAAGTGACGAGAATCAACGTGCGATGGAGAGGGCCTCTCGTCACTGGCTCTCGAATAGCTGATGCATGGCTCGAATCGCTGGCTTGTCGTTCGTACCCTCCGATTCGCTGTATTTGCAAGGTCTGAAACTGACCCAAAAATTTTGGGCGTTCCCGCAAGACGGAATGAGGTGCGGGCGACATTGTAGGACCAACGGTGAGCATTTTTTTTCTGTTGGTAAACGTGGGGGGGGGTGTTGGACAAGGAAAGGTGAAAACGGCAGGGAATGCGTGACCAATTTTCGTTTCACTCTTCGCTACCCTCCCCTAGCTCAGTCTTTCTGCCATGCTCTCATCTGCGATAGCGCGCATTTTGATCGTGTTGCGGATGCCTCCAATCTCTTTCGCGTGGTTCACTCAGTCGTAGAATAGAAGGATTTGTTGTCCGACGGAGGAACATGCTGTTTTAACTGTACGTAGTGATGTTAACAAAAGAAAATATGCCTAGACTTGTGACATACGGTGAGACTTTAAAGGCAAAGTTTGGGCTCAGACCCACCTGATGAGCCCTTCAAGTGGCTAGAAGCGCATGGGACGCAACAGCAGGAGACTCGCCCAACTCCTTCGCAATTGGAAATGATGTCGCGAACGGTGTGTATGCTCCCCGACACTCGACCTCCCGCCGAGCTGCCCATCAGCCCACCACGCTGCCTCCTGAGCGCCCACCAGGAGGAGCGGACCCAACTTCCCCCCGGGGACACAGGGGGCGCCCGTCGGCAGCTCAACCTACTCACTAGTGGCCGACGGGCTGACCTAGGTAAACAGCCCTACTAAACCCGAGTGACACACAACAGACCGATATAATTAGGGTAAACCCCACATATAATACATAGAAAACACAATTATATTTACTAACATTTATTATGACGTAATAACTCACCATACTCCTCGAACTCCCTGGGTCACCTCTCAGAGAGGTGACCTCCGGGAGTTCGAGGAGTATGGTGAGTTACTACGTCATAATAAATGTTAGTAAATATAATTGTGTTTTCTATGTATTATATGTGGGTTTACCCTAATTATATCGGTCTGTTGTGTGTCACTCGGGTTTAGTAGGGCTGTTTACCTAGGTCAGCCCGTCGGCCACTAGTGAGTAGGTGAGCCCCGCCAGCTGACTCGACGTATTAGACCCCCACGTTGGCTCGGCTTCTTCTGGGGGCTCCATGCGGCCGACGTGTCCTATCTGGGATGTTGTAAGGGCTGCTCCCAGACGGGGAGCAGGGGAAGGACACGACCGGCTTTGGGATGACAGGCGCTCCGCCAACATGGACTACGGAGCGACGTGCCCCTTCGCCTTAGCTGGCCTCATCGCGTTGCCCGGTGAACACCGACCTGCCACCGGTGGCCAGCTCCTACGAGCACCGCCGCTACGGACGGTGCGCGTAGCGCCGACTAACTGGCCTCGACCGCAGGGAGGCGGGGCCAATGGCGCTGGAGCGCGTTGGCAACCGAGCGCAAGTGGGCCGGGGCGCGCGGTGCGCCCAGCGGGCCACCGTCGCATCCCGCGACAAATGCGTCACTAAGGCGCTAGGGGCCAAGGACTTTGACACGCTCCACCTGTTGCGACACGCTCCGCCCACCGCTCGATATTTTGTCTGCGTCGCAATGCTGATCTGCTATGCTCTCTCTTCTCGGATTTCTCTACCGCTCTCCGCGCTCACATTATCTCTCATCTCCCTGCCGGCCTTTTGAACTTCTCCGCAACGTAGAGCAAAAGGCTCGTATTTCCTGTGTATTTCACGATTTTTTTCCTTTTTCTCCACTGGCGGTCCACCTCCCACCCCTACACCACATTTAAAGGAGGAATTCACGATTAGAATGAAGGTCGAAGAAAGGGAAACTGACCTAGTTGAGGGACCCACGGACCTCCTGAGGGTGCGAACTGACGCGCAATTCGCATGGAAAAATTTGACCTCGGCGACCTATCATGCCTCAAAGCGATCTCCGCCCACCGATCATCTGATCACTCGCCGTAGTTCAATACGTGGCGAGTGATTAGATAGCTGAGAGAGCGTAGTGTTGAAGAGGGCACAGCGATGAGAGTCGCATCAATGCTCGAATCAACGGGCAAGGAAGGGGTACCATTTCTCGGGTTCTGGGCCGTTTCTCATGGTTCTTCCTTCTTTCGTGTACCACTCACCATCCCTAGGTTAATTTGAAATGGGTTGCTTTTTCATCGTGAATTCGTCCTTAAGTAGACATTACCCACCAAGTTTAAACCTAAAATCTTGCCTTTAAGGCAGGTTTGTAAAGCAAAAATTGTTTCGGCGCTTAAATGGGAATTGGGAGGGCAAAGTGCCAATAGATTGGTTCAAGTAGAAGGTTAAGAGAGTGGTGCAGTGACAAGTGGCGCGCTCACCACGCGAGCGGTCCGGGATCAAATCCTGGGTCGTGAGTCGCCCGGGCCAACCAAGCCTTCCATCCCTCCGGGGTCGGTTAATTGGTACCAGACTTGTCTGGGAGGATAAAAACACTGAACATCGGCTGGCCCCGCAAGTCATTGTATAGGCCACATCGCATTCAAACGCCACTACGAATGTACAAATGGAAGTAGAATGCGTGCCGCATCCCAAAAAGGGATTGATCAACGGCAAATGCTTTATCCTTTTTTATAAGGAAGAAAACATGTTCGGGGCTATTATCGATGCGTGAACTTACGGGCAGTGGGCAGAGCGAAACAATCAAGTAATTAACAGAACAAAAATAACTTAAAACCCGTAAATAATTAGCTTGGAAATGAAGCTCTCACTATAGAAGGAAGGTGAATTTTAGTTCTCTGACATGTTCTGTCTTGTTCACTACTGGTTTTCAAAAAGGTTCAGGCGATCCTACAAGTATTGACACGTTTTGCTTTGTTAGCAGCTGTCTCTTTGGCGTATACTACCGTTTTTAACGTGGTTTGCTATCGCTAACAGCCAATTCTCCCGTCGGAACAAACAGCCCCGAAGTAGGAAAGCTTCATCTGATCTCCACTCTCTTCAGATGCCTGGCTTGCAATTCTCGACAGCCACCCGGGAGCATGCCGCAGAAATCGAGAAATTCATGTTCACGGAATTTAGAGTCAACGAACCAATTACAGTGTCGCTGAGTGAGTTTATAGGCTGCTTATGAAAAAAGTCGCCTTGTGACGTCTTTCTGGGAATTAGCCTGGAGAAACAAACGTTGGGATAAACCATGCCGCTAAACACTTTGAACTTCATAGTAAACGTTGAAGGAATTTAGGGCAAATGTTTCACAAATGCTAGGTTATGAACAAAACTTTCGCCCCTGACAAGACTCGAACCCGCACCTCTTGCTTACCGGGCAAGTGGGCTACACGCTACGCTACCGGGGCACCATTTCATCCCAATTTGATTTATGATTAGGACACCGCCGTTTTCCACTGCATTGTGCAGCACTCCCCCAATGGCGCAATTTTTGACGGTCGACAAAATGTGAGCCATCGAAGAATCGGGGGACCGTAGACTCCGAAACGTAGATTTGCGGATTTGAAGAGCCGGAAAACCCTTTAAGGAAGCTTGCCTCTATAGACGTGCGGACTAAGTTGGTCGATCTCAATCTCAATATTATATTTACCAGCATGTATGGGGTTATCCGTTCCTCCCGAAAATGAATACATGTGGACGGAGTCAGTGAGGTTTCTTCAGGAAATTTTGAAGGTTCTTCCTATACCACGAATGTTAAGCACTGGTTAGAGTTGACGGTACGATAAGGCGATTAGGCGACTAGGCTGCCTCAGAGGGGAGTTATTCTAAGTTGATATGACTACTCGTATATCGCCCGACTCGGATACGTATTATATTTCCGTCAGCCACTTGAATGGAATTTACGAATCACTTTTGGTGTGAGAAAACAATTTTCAGAAACTTTGATTTCATTGCTCGATTCAAAATATTCGTATTTTTTAGCAATATATTAGGTACGGATATCTTAGTGTCGCTTTTCTGAGTTCAGGAAGTTTTGGGGCCGATTACTATGGAAAATCAATATCCCAGAAGGCAGTTTTTGCTCATTAATATTGCGAAATATGTTGCTTACCGTCTTCTATTGTTGGTTCACAATTTAACTTTCCCCCAATTTTTATACTTTCTTCTGAAAATTCCTGGGTCCAGTGTGCAAATTCGCATGTGTGTACCAAATGCATCAAAATTCTTGCTGAGAGCTGTAACCTCCGCCCACCAAACCAGCATTGCATTTGATGGAGGGAATACTACCATTTAAAATGCTCATCGGTTTTTCACAGTTTTCTTAAAAGACAGTAAAGTCTTTGAAGGGATGCCCGCAACCGTCGCCAAAAAGGTGGTCCTAGCTAAATCAGTCAAAACGGGGCTGCACCAGTCTTGTGCTGGAATGGTAGGACACCCTAGCAGTTACTGATCGATGGTGCACAGACGCTCTAACGAAGTTGATTGACCAAGAAATTCTAATAAATGTGCTCATCTGCTACTCACGTGTGCTCAAAAAGGGTGCGTTTTTGACCCTATGTGGCAAAAAAGACTCCGGGAAAAATTGTCCAGTTGAGCTGGTAAGTAATAAATTTTCCACCAAACAGTGCAGACCCTACTCTAACTAAATGTATACATATTTTGTCCAGGCCCAACTGTTTAGCAAGGTAGAGGGATGATTTGTCAGATGATGTCAAATTCGACCTACCTCTCTTTTTCGTCTCAAAAAATTCCTAACTTTAATCGTACGAGGTTTTCACTCATACTGGTAAATGGGAAAGGGCTAATGAGTCATTCGATGGATATGCCGTTTCACTCACTGGATTTTGAATTAAAATATTGGTGGTCCGAAACTCGCGGTGAAAAAACGACACTAAGATATCCGGTACCTAATAATAATAGGAAACAGTACTATCAACGATGCCAATAATATCAAGGAGACTTCGTTTAGAGGCAACGGAAACGGAACTTTTGGAATTTTTCCACGATCTGTCAGAATCTGGTTACTCTAACGAAAAATATTCGACGGTGGTTCATCAAGATGGCAGGTTTGCTTTATGGTTTTCTCCAAGTGTTTGGTCGAATGTGCTTTAAAAACAGGATTCACGATGAAAAGTTAGCTCATTGGAAATAAGAGTGGAAAGAAAAAATTCGAAACGGCCCGAAACCGGAAGAATGGGACCCATTCCTTGCCTCATTGATTTGCACGTTATGCGACTCGCATCGTTGTGCCTTCTTCTACGCTCTCTCTGAAATCTAATAACTCGCCACGTATAGACCTACCGTATAGATTAGATTGTCGAGGGGCGTCCCCCGCCAATCGCTCCAAGGGATAGAGGAGAGCCATGTTAGATCGCCCGAAGCAAATCTTTCGCTGCCAATTGCGCGTCGGTCAGCACTCCTCAAGAGGTTCGTCTGTCTCCCAACTGTGCAATTTTTCCCCTTCTTTGACCTTCGTTCTTATCGTGAATTCCTCCTTCTAAGAGATATCGTACACAGTATTCGAATTCATGTTGTTGCAGCTTGTCCTTCCCATAGAGACTTCGTCTCCGACTCGATGCTACCTTCCTCAACCTGGGGGGGGGGCGGTTAGAGAAACGGGTTGATGCTGTAAAGACCTTCTTTGCTTGCTGAGAGTCCTCATCCTCTGCAAGGCGCGGTTGCGCTGCCTAAGTGTAGCTAGCGGTAACGTTGAATCTTAATTCCTCTGAAGGGGTTGCGCTGCCCTAATTGTCGCTAGGGTAAACGTAGAGTATAGCGGGTCTCATGCCGGAACCCTGTCTCCCTCGGCGTTAGGATAGCAGCGGAGAGAGAGGGGCACGTCCCCCTGGCGGAGGGATAGCAACCGGCCCCATAGATTCTTGAGTGTTGTCTCACCTCAAGTGTCGCCACCCTCTCTTCCTTTTTTTACCACTACGGCGAAGTCACGCCTACCGCTCGTGCCGTGCACAAGTGCGGAGAAATCAGCACAACCTCTGCAATTGTAGGCATCGATTGGTCGAGCAAAGGACTATTTTACCCGATCGTTTTCTGCATGTTCATGTGAGGGACGGAAGTACCAGCTTACCAAATTTCGGGGTTGAGGAAGCATATGACAGCTATACCTAATGGATTCTTGCGGCAATCCCTGCCCAGGCCAGGGGAACATATCCCTTCAAATTTTCTTTCTATTGTCAACGAGAGTCGCTCTAAAAGGGAGCCCAGTTGAAATTTATGTATGTCGAAAAATACTGTACTAAGAGTAAGGATCTGTGTCGGTGAAGACCAACAAATTTGAAGGGACACATTTTTTCCTAGCCCGGTGAAAGGATTGGACAGGGCCTCTGCAAGTTGAACAGATTATTCTCAATCGTTCTCTGTCAAACTTCGAGTATGTTCATATGTATTCCATTGCTTGATTCAGGCTAGTTGCTATCTGCCTTTGCTCTGTGAACAGCTACGAGGATGACAACATGGTAGAAGAAACGCCAGAAATAGACGATGAAACCCATGACTACGCCAAAGGTAGACATTTCCTGCAAAATTCTTATCAAAGATACTGGACGACTAAACGCGTCGCCACCCATCTGGAACCAAGGACGGATAGGTCCGTACATGGAGGAAGCCTTCTGCTGTCTGACTGAGTCCCGTAAGGCCAATCACCTCATGAACGATAGAAATTGAGCGACTGGCACGAGCTCAAAAATTCGGGCTAACTCTGAGCAGGGATTCAAAAAGGGTCTCGGCCCTTGATTCTTTTAGGTATTAGGGACATTCAATGTGAAGCCAGTTGTGATTAGCCACCGAAATTTTGAGTGGCTGGCCAAATCTTTGCGGCAGCTTCTGTGGGAATGTCTCCAACTGAACCCTTGCTTTACCGTATGCTTAGTTGATCCAAGTAAATGGATCAAACCCTTCAAAAAAATTATAAAAGGGTTGATCGACAGTCGCAGGCTTAAAAATTTGAAACATTTCAACATAGCCAATGGGAAGTTCTTGGAGTAAAGCAATGAGCTTTGATCAGTCCCTTTCCGGAGTGCGCCTTGCACTCTGCTTCCATTAAGAATCCCAGCGGTACCTAAATGCGATTTGCGCCGTAGATGACCCTATAACAGTATAGGGACAGGCATTGTAGATGTCAGTGCTGTTATCGTTCCAGACGGTCTGGATACGTTAAACCCCGGATCGGGAGGGAGAGACTTGATTAGCCTGGAAGGACCGTAGGGGTTTCAAGATTTGACTCTCTGGCAAGCAGCGCACTTGCCAGTTCGCGGCCCCCGTCGGTTTGTATCAGTCGTACTTCGCTCGCTTACGATAGTTTTGTTTTACGTCTTCTAAAAAATATCAACGAAGCCGAAGCCAATAAACAAATGAAGTTTCCAGAAATCGCGCAGGGACCTTATAGGGAGCACAAAGCTAACCAATTGGCAATCTTTGTGGGTGCATTGGAACGAAGACAACGAGAATTGCTTGGCAAATCTTGTAAAGTGATGAAAATCGACATCATATGCGTTTCTTCAGAAGCCAAAGGGTAAGTATGATTTGTCATCTTCATAAGCAACCTGTACTATCCTCTAAAGTAGCTAAAAACATCTACTTCAAATATCTTCAGCCATGGTCTCGGCAAAGAGCTGACCAGGAGGTCTATAGAAATAGCACGTTCTGAAGGATGCGACTGGGTGGCCACGGCAGCGACGGCAGCCGCTTCTCAAGCCGTTTTTTCACGGGTTTGTTGACAAGTTATCCATCATCGGATTCAATTCTCGGGGCCAAACTTTGAAATCCTCTGCAGTACCGAGCTACCAGTCGTTCTCATCTGGAAATTATTGATATTTCACATCCGATGCCTATCATTTTGGCGCTTACCCAGGGTCGGTGCCTACGTGTTGCGGACTTTTAGTGTTCACGAATATTTTTTTTTACGACTCCCCCTTTACAATTTCAAAAATTTCCACGATCCCCCTCCCCTCACCACCCTCGCCATCATGATCGCTGTTTCTATAGTATTTAGATTCTGAGACCAGCCGACACACCTAACTCCACCCACGTTCCCCTTCAAAACCTACACTTGCAACGGCAAAATCTTCTCTCACTTCGTTCCTTCACATTACCACTACGCTCCTTAACTCACCCATGAATTCTGAGATTACATCGAATACGACCCCCCCCCACCTACAATCTCAACAAATACGACCCCCGTTGGTACTTGTCACAGCATAGGATTGACCCCGCTTTACTGGCGCTAAGCTTTAGCGAGGGAGATAGCGAATCTCGTGTAAGGTTGTTGCGTGAAAGTGTTTTAGTATGTATTATTGTCACGAACAACTTGATCGCGAATAAAATAGGATTTCATGTCCCTATTACGAAGTTCGCCGGCGGAGTATATGTCGCGCAGGACGGCTCATGTGTTTATTTGACGGTTGCTAGGGTTACAGGTAGCGGTTCCGCTCGCGTACTGGATGTAGATTCTTGGTTTTTTGAAGAGGAGCAAAAGCACTGAATGCGAGCTTCGATAAAAGCTATCTATACGGCCGATCACGCTGTACCATATAACACCTGACGCATATAAGCTAGTCAGAAGAAGTCTATTCGAGCTTTCGAACGGCAAAATTTTTTGTATTTTTTTTTACCCTTTCTCTGACGAGTCACTTCGCGCCCGCAAGCTTCATATTTCAAACCCACTGCCCATCTTCCGCTGTCGCTGGCTGTGCCTTTAAGGCAATGCGAAGCTCTTCAACCATCATTCACGACTTGGACTTAATTTCTTACTTGTAAAGGGGTTCCTTTGATTCATTATTATTACTAGCTATTACAAGAAAATACTAATCGTTTTCTTCTTTTACAGATGGGATTCCAGTCGTTGCATGAAATACCGTACTCGAGCTTCAGAGAGAACGGAAACGTGGTCTTCAAAAATCTTCACGACGGCTGTGAATCTGGGAAATTCATGGCATTAAGAGTTAACTAGTTGAACAAGTTATAAGATAGCCTCAATAAGAAACGCTCTCATCAGAATAGTTTCTCCTCTAGTTCACACGGACCTGTTAGTTACGAGTTGTCATATCCCATACTGGAAATAAGAAATGGGCATTTGAATCAAATTCATGTTTTCGATTGAATCGTATATTCCTTGTCAAGCGGCTGTGGTGAATTGGTCGGCAACAACCGCCTAGCTAGCTTCCATGCGATGTTTTCGCTTGACCGCTGCAACCGTTGCCATTCCTCATCAATCGTGACGTCTGCGCCCTCTCACGTACACGTGCTCTCTCGTGTTATCCTTCTCTAAGCAGCGCTGGGTCTTTCCGTCATACCACGGCCAATCCCACCGTGAAATTTCACAGTTTTCTACTGTGCCTTTTGCTTTTTCTCCCCAGTAACATTCCTCATCTCGCTTTTCGAATTTTCGAAAGAAATAACACAAAATGATCCCGACCCGCGCCTTTAAGTCCGAAATTGACCAAGCGACCCATGAATCAATGCACCCACCTACTCTCACCGCTTGATAGGGAGCATAAGTTATTCAGCAGTTTATGGTTATTTCATTCCAATGTACATTCTGCATTGATATATCATACAAATTGTTTAGAAAAGTTGTATAAAGTTTATTTTATTTTTTTATTCATTCCTATTATTTCTTTGTAAGTTATTTATTCGCACTTTCCATCATTCTTCGCTTTTCTTCTTCGGCGAGAAACTTTTTGAGCCGAGATCCTTTATACATGGCGTCCTCTGCGGAATCGTACCTTGAAAAGGGGTGATGTTCGCGGCGCGATGATATGCACGCATGGTGAAGTCTAGTGAATACTGTTCTTGTGCAAGCCCCGTTGCTACTTCCCAGTGAGCTTCCAGCATACTAATTTGAACTCGCAATATCAAAGACAAGCGGAGTGGTAGCTGATACTCTATGTAGCATCACATTCAGGATGACGAGCATTTTCCTCCTAAAAATGCGGGGTGGCTTAAAGCGCACGTTCCTGGCACAGTTGTCGCTCGCCGATCTCCCTTGTTACTTTTGCGCCACCCGAAGCGCAGGTCGTAACAGATGTACAATCCAGCTACACGTCAAGGCAGTGAGCGCAATGGCAGGAAAGCGAAGCTAAAGCCAACAGCAGCAAGGGTTGTGATCAGGGCGTCCTTCAAGGCTCACCTACTAAAGACCTCACCGGATCAGTTCCATTTGGCAGCCATCGAATTCACTACCTTTTTAGGCCAGGAGCAACAAACCAGAATCACTATATTCTTCTTCTTCTTATTCTTTAGCGTTTGTCCCACCCTGTGGCGGGGTCCGCTTTCCTGGTATTACGACGCCACTTTTCCCGATTATGTGCCTGATCGGGGTGAAGGCCAACTAATTTCAAATCCTCATGCAACGTATCAAGCCATCGTTGCTTCGGGCGTCCTCTTGGCCGCTTTCCTGGCACGTTAAAGTCTAGACCGATCTTACGGACACTCTCATCATTAGCGCGAAGGACGTGACCGTACCACCTCAGGCGAGCTTCGCGCATCTTATCAGCGATGGGAGCCACACCGAACCGCTTTCTGATGGAGCCACACCGAACCGCTTTCTGATCGTTGCGAATGTGGTCTAAACGGTGACCCCGGCAGTCCAGCGCAGCATTTTTGTCTCCATTACACTGAGACGAGCCTCAACCTCTTTAGTCACGGGCCAGCACTCTGCTCCGTAAATGGCGACTGGTCGGACGACGGTTCTGTAGATCTTAGATTTCAGTCGCTCTGGTATTTTCTCATCGCAGAGAACGCCGAACAACAGAAGCAACAACGAACACTGGTTGCTACAAATTGCATCTGGGTCTTCGAAGCAAGCCAAACCTACGGAGACTTCCACCATGACATAGGAGTAGGTGCATATTCAACTATAAGGGTAGGCATTTTTGAATTGAGGGCGGAAGTGGTGTAGTGGCAAGTGGCACGCTTACCACGCGAGCGGTCCGGGGATCAAATCCTGGGTCGTGAGTCGCCCGGGCCAACCAAGCCTTCCATCCCTCCGGGGTCGGTTAATTGGTACCAGACTTGTCTGGGAGGATAAAAACACTGACTTGTACATCGGCTGGCCCCCGCAAGTCATTGTATAGGCCACATCGCATTCAAACGCCACTACGAATGTACAAATGGAAGTAGAATGCGTGCCGCATCCCAAAAAGGGATTGATCAACGGCAAATGCTTTATCCTTTTTATTTCCTTTGAATTGATAATGGAGTATGCTATAGCAATGTTGATGCCATCAACTGCTCCTTGAAATCTCCTCCAATACCATCCGACAAACCCAAACATAAGCACGAATCGGTCCTAAAATGAAAAAAAACCAGTATTCTTGGAAGCTGCTTCTAACGACTATTGGCTACAAACGGACATACCATTGAAAGAGATTCGGTATCGCAACGAATTTTATAGCACATTTCTCGGACTGTAGCTTCATTGCCTAAAGCATTCAACAAAAATGAACAAAGAAAGATCCTCCTTATTAAAGAGACCGCTTGATGAAGGGGAATGGGTATAGGTGACAAACTGAAACGATGACAATCAGAAAACATACCTATACTCCGGGAGTGAAGTGCCGCAATGAGAGGTCCAGTAAACAAACCAGCAAGAAGGAAACGACCCTAGAACGTTCCGGTGTAAGAGGAACTATTTCAACGGGAGAAAAACGCTTAATGCGAACAGCGCCTAAAGAATGTATGGTTCACCTGTACCCGCCGGCAAGCAGTCCTTATAATTTTATGAGAGTTAGGTGTGGTCTTTTCAGGAGTCAGCTGGCGGTGAAGATACCAACGATACAGAGGATGAACAACGAGGCCACCTGAACATATAGCACGCTTCACAAACGTGCAATTCCGAAATTGCCAGCCATCAGACATCTGAATATCTACACAATCAATGCGTCCAACGTTTCCTTTCATGATCTGTTTTTGCTAAAATCACGTCACTGAAAAAGGTACAAGCGTTATACCAAGTATTAGGGCGGATGGGCCATGTGCACACCATACGCAGAGTCTGGCACTGGAGTCTAGGATCGAGCCTCTCCCTGACCGACCCTTCTGTCAAGGTAGGTTCGATAAATTGGTACCAGATCGCTTGGAAGGACAAAAACACTAATTTACACATGGCTGGCCCCACGCAGGTCATTCTGTAAACCACCGTGTTCAATGCCATTCTGAATAGAGGTAGTATGCATTCCAGAAAGGGATTGATAGAAGCCATAATTTTATCTTCATGGCTATTAGGTGTACAACCAGCGGCTTAAGCAGTACGAAACGAAACAGTCACACCTGAGTAGAAACACTGAACTTAAAGGCAAAAGTCGGGCTCAATAAGGGGGTATTATGGCGATTGAAACTGAGTATAGAGATGCGAAGTGGAACGACAGTGGAGAAAAAACTGAGAAAAACCGTCGACAAGGCCGTTAACAAAACCCTCTTTCCCACTAGCAGTGAAGGAGGCTGGCTTTGGGAAAGAGGCACGTACAAACAAGTTTTCTGGAGATGTCAGTCGTTCTATCGGTTGATACGGATATCTATCGGCAATCATACTGGCTGATTTCACACGTTATGCAAGCCAGGCACCACTTCCGAGGAGGTCTTGGATTGAAGCTTGCGCTATCTATTTGATCTACAGAGAAAAACCTAATCAGAGGATTGAAGCGGAATTCCCTCTCTCAAAACGAACGGTACGACTACAACACTTACCAACAACACTAGTGACTTCCGCTCCTTTGAATAGACCCCATATAGAGTACTCGAGGAACGGCCGAGGAATATCAGCTAGTGCTTCAGGAGTATTAGCTCTGTAGAAGAACTGTGAAAAGTTGTAAAACCATGACTCCAACCCGATCATCACACCCTGAAATCTGTGGGAATTCATGTTAAAAATCAACACTGAACTTCACAGTGATCACTTTCAATATATCCTACTGGCAAGCCATGTTAGATACAGTCGAAAAGGTGAACGAAAATTTATAACAGGATCGCAAAAGGCGCCATAAGAGCACAGATAGCATGTGCGGTACCATCCGATTGAAACTTCTTGTCCCACCATAACCAGCAGTCCGACTGCAGCCCAGTTTACTCCTAAATTTGCGCTACGGCCAGCAAGAGTTGGACAGATTCTCTGGACCTGAAATATATCCTCGACGACAAAAAGCGGCACGCACTCACTACGCATATTTAAGCCTTTTTAAGCGAACGCTAAAAATAAAAAATTCCAAATAAAAGGACAGACTCAAAAATAACGTCTCCTACATAAAGCTTTGACCCAGGTAAAAGGTTCAGAGATACCGAATAGCTAAGAATAATGTAAGAAAAAGCGTTTGGATAATCCCACAGGTCAAAAGACATAAATGTGAAGGTTCAGTTTTTTATTACCTTTAACCTCACAATAAGACCTCATCTCGTTCGAAATCACAAAAACGACAAGAAGAAGAATAGACAATCTATAAATTTATACTAACACGCACATGGTCAACGAGCGTACAACAATTTCTAGGAACTTCTTCCATTCCCGAAGCAACAACGAAAAGCCAATGAGCAAATTCTTCACTAGATCACTATCAGCTACTGCTGGCCGCTTGACCGAGAGCTTTCTTAAGACGGTACTGCTCACGTTTCGACAGAACGCGACATATCGCCTTTTTGCGTTCTTTGATGTTTTTCTACCGTTGGCTTCCAAACTCAGCAATCGCCTGGAATACACCACATTCGAATGAATACGTCACGCTTACCAATGGAGCACTATTTAAGCTCACCTCCTTCGCTCTTTTAGCCAACTGCTTCTCGCGCGCAGCCTCAGCTTTCTTCGTGATATCTCTGGAAAAAGAAGATGTGTGCAGAGACCACTGACTGTATCATCAGTGACCTCATATAACATACGTATTGATAGTTCTCAACATGTCCATCATTCGTTTCCTCTTGGCCTCTTCAGGTTCCAGAATTACCACTGTATTCCTCGCAATGAGCGGTTCTTTATGCTGAAGAAAAGGAGAATGAGCACTTAATTTCTAGTTACTGGAAGAAGCTTTCTATCACATACTATACGCTCGTACCTCTTTCGGTTTTTCCTCATATGTTGGCTTCAACTTGAAAGGCAAGCTTTGTTGAAGCTTGTTAGGTACGACCAGCGGAGCCGGTTCTAGTTCATCACGTTCAATGGGCTAAAGAGAAAAATGCTTTAATTGTTACTCTTTTATTTTACTCTGATTTAATTATTTAATCCAACCAAGTTGATGGGTGCAATGATAAGGTTACCTTATACATAGAGTCCTCTCGTAATTCCGGTTTGGTACCGAGCTCATGTCGTATCTTACCGACAGTACGCATTCCGACCCATGGCTCTCCTGGCGGAAGCAGGTGATCGATTACTGGCGCATAGAAGCGGGGAATAGGCACAGATACCCAAGACCGCAAAAACACAATATCTGAAGAAGTTCATACCTATTCGTTCAATGCAAGCGAAAATCACACGAGTTTACTTCTGCTCTCACGCATGATAAGATTTGAGTAACAACTTGGAGTGGTTCTACAAAATATTTAGAGAGAAATAAGCGCAGACCAAGACAAGGAAGTGCTAGACTACACTTTCTTAGTGACTGTGTTATACAAAAGATGTTAACAAATTCGAGTCCCAGTTCGTGATTAGGGTTGTTCACTTTGAAAAAAAGCTGGAAGCCATGAAAACCCTTGATTGAATCCAGATAAGGCACCACAGATCAACCTTGGGTACACTACGCGTGCTTTCGTTCCATACTGAAAATGAAGTGGTGGTTTTGCCAACCTCTCATCAATATTTTGTCCTCAAACGTGGCCCTGAATGATCCAGCAGGCTCATGTAATCCTTTCTTGATTTGACCCCGGATTCCAGACACAGTTCGGATTGTTGCTCCTTCAAACTTGGCCACCTCCATCTGACTGTTGAACATCCCCTAAAGCAAACGAACGACTTCTCCAAAATGTTTTAAGAACATGCTACTGTGCTTCACAAAACGACTGAAACACTTTGGAGGTGTTACTAGAAGTACAGTTATCATGGAAAACGATAGAGAGTAACTTACCTTGATGAAAGCAGACTTTTTGAACACCTTCTCAGGAGTGCCAACAAGTTTGAGTTTTTTCACAACGTCAGTGCTTTTTTCAAGATTCAACACAACTCCTGTGGCGACTATTCGGTACCCAGGCTAAAAAGAAACAGAAGAATACATAATAAGAATTCATAGAGTACAAAAATAACCGCACTGTTTTGTCGGAGACAGACTGCACAGCAACAAATCCCGTATTCTGAGCGACAATAGGTCCCCAAAACTGAGCATGGCAATGCATGTGTTCGGGTGTGTACTTCAAAAACCGCTGCCTCATGTTGTGATCCTAAAAACAGCATCACAGCCTGAGACTTCATTTCCTATCCTTTATCATAATTGCGAATTTCTGCCCAAATATTACCTGAATAGAATATATGACCACAGTTTGATATCTCCGCCAACCACAGCTGATGATTAGAGGATCTCGTGACTTCAGCGTTCTTTCGAACCATCGATGTCGTTTTATACGCACCTGAACATTCACAACGTGCCCAATGTGAATTCCAAACGAAAGTCAAAAAATTGTTCACCTGAACTACTCCCATGTTTTGTTCGCCAGTTAACAAACCACCAACAATGTAGGGTGATGTGGGATCGAAGTTATCGACAAATTCACATGGCACATTCTCTATCTCGATACGAACATAACGACCAGCTCGAAATCCTGAACAGACATATTAAGCAGCAAAACGACTAGAAAATTAAAGCGTTAAGACGGGCAGTATGTCGATCTGCTGGTTTCCAATTTTGGCATAATACCAGAAAAAAAACGTATTCTAGTGTATCAAGCCCACCTCAATCCGATCACCGAAAAAGAAAAGAATTATTTTTATTTTCAAGTAAAAAGCTGCGCACTAAGCTAAAACCATAAGTAAAACGAAACAATTTTGCATATTCCAACGTACACATACCCCTGATATCGCTGGAACTTCCATCTGAAATTTTGCATAAAATTGCTGAGGCGCACGATCGAGGAAAAATCAGATAAGAGTGGAAGACCAGCAAGAATGACAGCGAGCGGATGAGGCTTGACAAAACACTAACGATATGAAATCGTATAAGAGTTTAAATGATATTGCTAAAAGAATGGATACTACAAGAATGCTGGGTGAACAAAACTTTCGCCCCAGGACGGGATCCGCACCTCTCGCTTTCCGGGCAAGTGCGCTACCAGTTACGCTACCGGGGCACCATTTCATCCCAACTCAGCTCTTCATGGTATACGTACCATAGCTTTCAGCACTCACACGTATAACGTGTTGAGCCGGTTAGCCGATATCGGCAATGACCGCGAGGCTGAAAGCGTAACTGGTAGCGCACTTGCCCGGAAACGAGAGGTGCGGGTTCTAGTCCCGTCTGGGGCGAAAGTTTTGTTCACAACCCAGCATTCTTGTGAAACATTCGCAAGGCGAACTGCGGCCAAAAACAGCAGTTAACAAACAAAAACAAGTCAAAATAGATTACTACATGGACAAGATTTCAGTACTTGAGCGAGAAGGCATTTAATTCAAAACCAGAGAGGTGTCCATTCGAAATGGTACTTTAAAACACGTTTTATTTAGGCAAGTGGTAGTATATCAAATTTTCTCCGTATAGCGAAACTAGAAAATGAATTGGTGGAAATTTCTAACTACAGACCTTCCAGCTGTTCCCGTTCGCTTTCATCCATTCCTTCGAAAATACTTTTGTTAAGCTGAGCCTGTTCCTCCATTTCACTCTAAAACCAAGAAATACCTAGAGTCTCTTTTCTCTAGCACCTGATTATGTAGCGCTGATGGAATGACTAACCTTCAAAGTATTATAGTGTTTGCATGAGTCATCGTAATCATCGTTAAAACGCTGCTTCAACTTTATTTTTTCTTCTTTGCGCTTCTCTCGAGCAGCTGCTTCAGCACGCTCCACTGCCGATAATTTGGCATCTCCTAAATCATAATTTTTAGTCGGTCCTCGAACAATGAATGAATTCCTGGTAAAACAAGGTCCAATCAAGGCGTGAAGATATGATAACTACCGTCTTTCAGCGACTCTTCGCCTTCACTTTCCACCGCCTCCTCTGCTTCCTCATCATCCATATCATCTGCAATAACAATAAATGAGCAGAAGTGTGCCATTCGTGGAAACGCCGAAGGAGGTAAACATAACCCTACTCAATCAATTGTGATTACCTATGTTACCTACGCTGGACCGCAATGTAAACTAACAATTTTCTTGTTGGCTAGATATTCCATGATTTTGGGCAGAGTTAATGTTGAACCTAGACAGGGGAGGATCTCGGGAAACTGCAAATTGCTCACGCACCCAGGAGCTCTCCCCGCCCCCTTCCGCATGGGCCTAGTTCTGAAATTGACACTGATATTGCCGATGCTAGTAGTAAGGTGTCAAAGGGGAGCACAAGATGCCTGCGGAAAGAGACGGATAGCTGGATGAAAAAGCTATGTTTGATCAGTTACGCCTGGCGATGCAATAGAATCCAAATGCCATAAAACTCATAAAAATCACCATTACCATGAAGCTTCTGCCTTCAATTTCATCATCCTCAGTCCACGTTCCTGTAACAAAACAGTCGGCGATGGACGATCGGACCTCCTCATCATTCCAGTCAAGAGCGGCAGAGGATGAAGACGCACACTGATTCCATAGAAGCACCGGTACATCCTTAGGCACAGAAGTCATTATGTGGCAAAACAACAAGCAAAAGCCCAAATACGCCGACAGTCCCACGGTGATATTTATTAGCAGCTCTTGCGCTAGTGGTCGCAGCTAACTAAGATAATTTATATCTGAATGTACCATTTCAACGCCTCAGTCGCCCGTCTAACAAGGACAGACGGTCCGAGTGTTCAAATTGCAAAACTTTCGATAAAGGAAAGCAGAAAGGAATGAAGCGCGCAATCAGAAACAAACAGCCACTTGAAATAGCAACAACACCGGAACGGCTTGTTGTTGTATTGATATCTGGCTTCTGGCTAGGTGACTGAGCAGCTAGTCACGGTAATATTTATAGGACCATTCCGCACATCGCAGTAAAAGTCATAGAGTGAAGACAAGATCGCGAGAGCAGTATGACGCCAAGCGTTCCTTACACGATAATGGAAACTACCACCAACCTGCTGATGTAGAGGTTTATGCACAGTCTTCCGAACTTTGAACAAACCATCGCCGACATCATCAACTTTCGGTGCAGGTGCTTGCACCTCTGAAAAGTTGTAACTCATTCTAGAAAGCAGAGGAAATCATGACAAAAATGAATCCATTAACAAAATTTGGGTCATTTTTGAAGCGCATGCACAAACCTTGTTTATAAATGATGCTCATCCAATTGAGCCTAATCTGTTTTTCGGGATGGTATCCTTCGAGAGCCTTTCGGGCAAGCCCTCCCCAATCGTCAGCGAACTTATGTAGTTTTGGCTCTTCATCATCAGATTCATCGTCATCGCTGCTCTGTAACGAAGGGATACATCCGTCAGACTTTATTTTTCAAAGTATATGTGATGATTACCTCGTCGCCACTAGAATGGAAAGGTTGAGATGTACCAACTTTTTCGTCACGAAAGTGTTCTTCCGAATCGTGATCTGATAGATCCATTCCTTCCTCTGAATATTCGTCCACGTCAGAATCGTCTCCAGACTGTTCCATGTCATCCTCATCAACATCGTTCTATACGAAATACTCTACATAGCTCACTCCTCATTAACTTTCCTCTCAATTCTCACCGTCAGAAATGAAAATATAATAAAGCTGTTGGGTGAAAAGGTGGCCCCTCAGCTTAGATTTCTGAATTCCTCTTTGCACTGTCTTCTACGCTACAGGAACATTGAAAATTTTTGCTTGAGGTCGACAAAATTGCGCTTAGTCTTGGCGCTCTGTGCTTGTCTGCACCCTTGGGAGTCACAGTCACCACTGTGTCTCGACACTTCTAATATACTATTAGTAGAAAATCTGCTCTCCATTATCAGCGCTTAAACAGGCTAATGTACAATATTAACTACTGTAGGCTAATGTATAATGTAATATGTGTACAATCGAACAAACAATAAGTAAGCATAATGCGAAAACAAAGTGGAAAACGTTCGCAGCACATTCAAAACCACCAAGAATGTTACCTCTTCTAAGTCTTCACTTTCTTCGATTGGAACGGAATCTCCCAGTAATGTTAACCGTGCTCCACTGAGTTTTCCATCGATTGTCGTCTTTACGTTCTCCAGAGCTTCGACTAATTCGTGCCGCTTTATCTTAAGCGACATAAGTGATGGATATGCCGAGAACAGGACATTGCCAACTTACAATCATGTTCTTTATGCGCCTTCGATTGTATGTATATAGCATCTTTATCGTAGACAAGTGCTCCCAGACCGCGAGAAGGGAGCATAAACCAGGCGTTCCTATAAATGTTTGGAGAAAGGTTATTCAGCACTGAACCACGTCTGTTTTTCATCGGAGTCATACCTGTTGATTCAAAGCTCGTTGTTTCAGCTGTTCAGGAAGTGGGCATGGGTCAGGAATGCTGCTGACCTAAATACAACTACTACGTAAACCTACCAATATATGGTGGATATGATGAACAGAAGAAGAGACGTACGTCTTTGACGCGAAGATCGCCCACACCTGGGATGTGGACGGCGCTGTGATTTTTCAGATGGGCACCGTGCACCCAACCATACAGACAAATTGTTCTGTCGATAGCTGGATTTGTTCTGAGCTCCTATAACATTTTTGAATAAAAAGAATCGACAAAGCACCTCGCAGTCACTACTATGTATATTATGTTAAGAACCACCCGAAATGTGAAACTCCAGAACAATTTAATCAGTGATAGGAACAATTAGAAGAGTAGTTTCGAAGGACCTTTGAAAGTTTTTCAATTTCCAAGGACTGGAACACTTTT